CTCCGCAGTGTTCAACTAGTGGGTGCCAGAGACACACGCACGCGCGAACCCTCCAGTCTCTCCTCAAGTGTTGCCTTGCACGAGGCGAGGCTCCCTCAACGGACGCTTGGCGGCGGGGTGTGGACTGTGTTTGAAATAATTCTGTAAGGTGTGGTGCTTATGGGTGTATTGTGATATGGTGCTGCGTTTAACGTGACCAGCAAAACACGTGTTGATAAGATGCCAGAACATGAAAGGAAAGGAAGCGAAGATTCACATTCTGACAGATTGGTATAACAGTTAAGTGTAATTTAGGTGTCAGAGTGACGGATCAAGTGGCGTGTTATTGCCAAACATCGTAATTGTTTCTTTTTGCATTATAGTGCTGCGATATTGTAAGACTGTACAAAGTTCAGTGAGTAGAGTGGGAATCATTTCAGCTCCTCCACTGTTACTCCAGAACTACAGTGGGTAGGAGCGGGCTTTGTTCCTGCAGGCGTGTTCAGAGATGACCTTCAAACTACAGTGTTGCAGATGTGATGCTACTGCACTTTTGTAGCATTATCGCCTTTAAAGTGTTCTGCAGTGGCACGAGATAGCTCGGAGTTTACCCCCCCCCCCCCTTAATGAACTGGTTGCACAATGGCCTTTAGAAGATGAGAACGTACGGCGGGACCTATAGTTGGTGGTTTCCCTAAAGCATCCATGATGTAGGGAAATGCAGTTGTTTTCATGGTGGAGACCCTAACCACATCCCCCAGCGATAGTGCCAACAAGACGCTCCCTGCCTCGCCTCGCCTCGCCGTCATCACGACACCTACACGACCCGTCATCTGCCCTTCTCCCTCCCCTCTCTCCCCTCTCGTTCCTCTCCCCCCTCTTGCTCCCCTCCCTCTCTCTCTCCCCTCCCCCTCTCGCTCCCCTCGCTGTGTATGGCGTCGCGAACATCTAGCTGGAAGAAATCGCAGACGGAAGTTGTCGCGACATACGGAACGTCTTATTAAAAACGCCATTTCCGTCGCTTTAATGCAGTGTACCGAAATCGTCGCGGGATATGAAAGTCATTTAGTGTCACACCACGCCGTCATTCGTCATGTATTCATACGGACGAATAATCCCCACGCCAGAAATATATATCGGACAAAACAAATCTTGAATAAACTTCGTGTTAGAAAAAAAAATGTTAGATGTATTTTTCTCCCCCCATCTCTCAAGCATGGGCGATATTGATGCTGCCCTGTAATGCTGAAATACGGAAATCATTTCTGGGTGATGACGATACCCAAGAGGCCATCTGGGTGGAAGATCAAGGGACGAGTTCCTATGGCGGGTGGAGGGTGATTATGGTAATGGTAGCTGCGATGATGGCGGTGGGGGGAAGATTATGTCCGCGTACATTGAGAGAGGGATCGGGCTTTCCTCCTCCTTGTCTTTCTTGTTCTTTTCTTTCTTATCATCATCAACTTCATTACCATCATCATCATCACCGTCATATATAAATGTTATATATATCTATATATATGTGTGTGTGTATGTGTATGTGTGTATGTATGTGTGTGTGCGTATGTGTGCGTGTGCGTATGTGTGCGTGTGCGTGTGCGTGTGCGTGTGCGTGTGCGTGTGCGTGTGCGTGTGCGTGTGCGTGTGCGTGTGCGTGTGTGTGTGTGTGTGTGTGTGTGTGTGTGTGTGTGTGTGTGTGTGTGTGTGTGTGTGTGTGTGTGTGTGTGTGTGCGTGTGTGTGTGCGTGTGTGTGTGTGTGTGTGTGTGTGTGTGTGTGTGTGTGTGTGTGTGTGTGTGTACGTGTGTGTGTACGTGTGTGTGTACGTGTGTGTGTACGTGTGTGTGTGTGTGTGTGTGTGTGTGTGTGTGTGTGTGTGTGTGTGTGTGTGTGTGTGTGTGTGTATGTACGCGCGTGTGTGTGTGTGTACGCGTGTGTGTGTATGTGTTTGCGTGTGTGTGTGTGTATGTACGTGTATTTGTGTGTGTATGTGTGTGTGTATGTGTGTGTGTTTGTGTTTGTGTGTGTGTGTGTGTCTGTATATAGTGAAGTGTTCCTCTCATTCTTCCCAATCTGTTTTACCCCGCATTTTCTTTATTTATTACTTTCCCCACTTTTGTCTGTTTCTTTCTCCCTCCCCCTCCTCTTCAGTTTCTGCCAGTTTATATATCTTCCAGTCATTTCTCTCATGCACGGGAGGAGGAAACTGTAAGCGAGTGAAGTCGTAATGCCTTGGTTTCTGGCTCGTGTTACCCCGGTATACGAATAGTCACAGTGACCTTGTCACGCCTTGCCAATAAACCCTCGGCCTGAGAGCTGTGTCCAGGCCGCGCGCTTATGACGTCTGTGCATCACGGGATGGCCGTCGTCGTGCATTTAGAAATGCCAGCCTGATATTCTCTTTTTCGTGACTTTATTGTTGTTAATCTGGTTATTGTTAGATTTTGATGAGAAAACGAGTGATTTTTTCTTGAACGTGTCGTTGTGATATCTCGGCAAGACATGCATGACGTGCACGTCGTTGGCTGTCCCGTTGTGTAATTCTGCTCCTTGGAAAGCCGGCGTAGGACGGGCGAGGGCTAAAAACAATAGATGGCTGAGCTTGTAGGCGAGCTTTCTATTGCTCCAGCTGACTCCTTCCTCGCTCATCGCACATTGTTGTTTATTGAGGACCATTGTGTGCCCCGCCTGACTGCTGCATCTGACAGATGACTGCTTGTATATGACGCCTGCTGGCTGACTGCTTTTCGATTGCAGATTTACTCTTCGACACCCTGTTGCTGACGTTTGTTTAGTAGGGCGATTGTCATATACTAGATGTGCCAGAAAGATGGAAATTTTGCGCCCCGTGTCCGCATTTTCCTCGTTAAGTCCACTCTGTCGGGTTTGAGTTCCATAAGTCCATTCGGTGATCGCGATGAGTGACAGCTGGGGCGACATAGAGCTCTAAGATGGCTGGTTGAAAATTGAAAGGTCGATGAATATGGCGTAGCAGATGTTACCACTACGGCCTTTGAACAGTGACGATGAACAACTCATAGTTCGTGATGGATAAGATTATGAGACAATCGTGTTGATTCATCTAATAGGGACGACACGTTCTCTCTTAAATTGATCATTTCTTATTTTAAAATTTCAGATCAGATCGATTCAGAAGAAAATGGTATGATAATACTTTGTAAATAGTGAAGTGTTTTAAAATGAAAAATATCTGTAAAGAAAGAGACATGGAAATTATATAAGTGAGAAGGGGAACCTGTACTAAAATAAATACAGTGCGTGCGTGAACAACAGCGGCGTGGTTTATCTTCACACGTCACAGACATGTCGCTCTTGTCCCTCACGGCAAAGATGGCGGCGGCCGTGCAGTGTGGAGGAGGCTCACTCGGCTCCAGGTCACGCAGGTAGGTCGCAAAGGTCACGGCGGAGGACCATCCAGTTGGTCAGTTAGCACTTTTAGCTCCTGTCACGGCTGAATTAGAGTTAGGGCTCACCGACAGTCTCGCTTGATTTCAATCTTCTGGGATGAAGAGACTAAGGCTGCTAGGATAGTGAAGTGGTTTCAGCAGCGAAGCACAGCTGTGTGATAGCATTGCACAACCTAGTGTCTGCGCGTCTGACAGTCCCGTCAGTGTGCTACTAACTGGGCCACTGTATTCCCATGTTCCGGCGTCACAGATTTTGCGTCAAGCATCAGAGGTTTCAGCTATTACGGTGCAAGTGTTGCATCTGTAGTTCTCAGCGCAATGACCCCTTTTCTGGTTTCAAGGTTCACCAAAGACCAATTAAGACACGTTTGTAGGTACTTCAGCAATCTCTCTGGTTGCGTGCCAAGGGCAGTACCCAACCACTCACGGCTTAGTTAGGGGGGAATATATAACACATTTTGTTTACCCATTATGGTTTTTTTATGTAAAGTCGGTTACTATAAATAAAATCGTGTGTGCCTACGTGTACATATGAATGTTACACATATAAATCCACATTATATATAGACATACATACACAAATTATATATATAAACACACACACACACACACACACACACGCACGCACGCACGCACGCACACACACACACACACACACACACACACACACACACACACACACACACACACACACACACACACACACACACACACACACACACACACGCACGCACACACACACACACACACACACACACACACACACACACACACACACACACACACACACACACACACACACACACACACATACACACATGCATACACACACTCATGCGCGTGTGCGCTCGTAATTATGGTCACAGGTTACTAACTTCCCTCTTTTTCTCTTCCAGGTAAGTTGGTCGTGGCGTCGTTGTATCGGGTCCATGGCGGGCCTTTCTCCCTGCAAAAGCGCAAGTAAATTTCCTGGAAAAACTAAGTTAGGCGATGGTGATGCGCACGCGGCCACGGGAGCAAGCGATGGGAGCTGGTCTCAGGGGCTTCATCTTGCCTCGTCTCGGAATCCGTTCACGTCTGCTAATCTGTAGTTAGCTTGTTTTTTTTTTCGTTTTTTTTTTTTGCTCTTTTTTGTTTTTGTTTGGTTTTCGTCCCCCTTCTCAGTCTGTTGTGTGTTCCATTGGACTTTATTAGCGTTATTCGCCGCTCCCCACGCGCCTCTCGACTCTCGCACGTTTTATTCTCTCTTCCTCTTTCTCCATTATCTTGCATTCGTTTTGCTTCCTCTCATCCTCCGCCTTTCTGCTTTTCTATGCATTTTCATTTCCCTGTCTTGCCCCTTCTACTTTTTTTTCTTTTACCTCCCCTTCCTGTTCCTCCTCCTCCTCCTCCTCCTCCTCCTCCTCCTCCTCCTCCTCCTCCTCCTCCTCCTCCTCCTCCTCCTCCTCCTCCTCCTCCTCCTCCTCCCCCTCCCCCTCCCCCTCCCCCTCCTCCCCATCATCATCATCATCATCATCATCATCATCATCATCATCATCATCATCATCATCACCACAATCATCAGCAGTCATCATTATCACCATCATCATAACTAGTCATCATCATCCTCTCCTCTCCTCTTCTCTTCTCTCTTCTCCTCTCTGCTCCCATCCTTCCATTTCCCTATTCTCCTCTTCCTCTCTCTCTCTCTCTTCTCCCCCGTCCTATTCTCCCCATCCGATCCTGGCCCCTCCTGAGGACGCATCCTGCCGCCGCCAGGAGCTCTTTTGTTGCTTGATCATTTGGGTGTCCCGGGAGGATTGTGGCGGGGATATCTTCATTCGCAGCGCTGGCACTTGCGGCTGTTCGGCGGGGGGGGGGGGGGGTAGACTATTAATGAAGGAAATTGGAAGTGGAGGTGGAGATCGGAGGTGGGAAGTGGAGGGGAGTGGGAGTGAGGTTGGGGATGGGGGTGGGGGGGGGGGGTACAGATTGAATTGGAGGTGGAGGTAGGAAGGGGGTGGAGGTGGAGGTTAAGGTGCGGGTTGAGGTAGGGGTTGGAAAATCGGAGGAAAGCGATGATTCACGGCAAATGAATGGGAGCGCAGGTGACCTAGGTTTTCGCGTCTGGAGATTGCGTCACGTTTGCGAGGATGGAATGCTCGGGGCTATGGTGAGGATGGTTCGGCGTTGCAGGATGGTAACAGGATTAGGTAAACTCGGTGGGCTTGTAGTGAGTCACGCGCAGCTGGCACTATTATGTCGTTAGGTAGACCACTTCTAGGATTGTTTGATATCCCCCTTTCCCCTCTCTCATCCTCTCCCCGGTCTGGGGAGGGGGAGGAAATAATAACATGCGCTAATCAGTGAAGAATCTAGGTACTTTTCATGCCGCATGTCAGCCGTGAAACCTTTTTTCCGGAAACACAAGTCAAAACGAAATTTGGGCCAGAGGTGCTGCTGTTCTTTGCCAGCGCTGTGTGTTGTTTCAAAATGCAGCTGTAGCACGAACAATTGCGTTAACATAGTGGGCACCGTGAGGCATCTTTTGGCTTAATTCAAGCCTCAACATTACTGGAATTCTAATTTTCTCGAGTGCCAATACTCTCATGCAGCGTAGTTAGGCATTTTTTTTAAAACCTGGAAATGAACTACTACATTGCTTATGAGTTGGCTCGTTTTTTTTAAATAAAAGGCAGTAATTATTTTTGGAAAAAAAATGCCAAGCTTTCGTGTTCGTCAACTGGGCAGGAACCGCGCACTCCCTAATTAATTTTAAAGGTAATTGTGTAGTGTTGGCCGCTGCGTTTTCAGCTCTCTTTGTCCCTTTTTCCGTAAGGTTTGGAGCCGTTAAGACTGCCTTAGCAATACTCAGGTGGCAGGGATATCGCGGTAGAAATGTGTTTGTCAAATACACCCACATAACTTTAGATTGTGTTCATATATATGTGTGTGTGTGTGTGTGTGTGTGTGTGTGTGTGTGTGTGTGTGTGTGTGTGTGTGTGTGTGTGTGTGTGTGTGTGTGTGTGTGTGTGTGTGTGTGTGTGTGTGTGTGTGTGTGTGTGTGTGTGTGTGTGTGTAGGGAAGAAGAAGAAAGAGAGGGAGAAGGAGAGAGGGAGTGGGAGAATAAGGGAGGAGAACGGGGGAGAGGGAGAAAGAGAAAAAGAATGAGAGGGGGAGAGGGAGAAAAAAAAGAGAGAGTGGGAGAGGGAGAAAGAGAAAGAGAGAGGGGGAGAGCGAGGAGGAGAAAGAGAGAGGGGGAGAGGGAGGAGGAGAAAGAGAGAGGGGGAGAGGGAGGAGGAGAAAGAGAGAGGGGGAGGGGGAGAAGGAGAAAAGTGAGTGTGAGGAGGAGGAGGAGGAGAAATAAAGAGTGGGAGGGGGAGAGGGAGAAAGAGAAAGAGTGAGGGGGAGAGGGAGAAAGAGAAAGAGAGAGGGGGAGAGAGAGAAGGAGAAAGAGAGAGGGGGAGAGGGAGGAGGAGAAAGAGAGAGGGGGAGAGGGAGGAGGAGAAAGAGAGAGGGGCAGGGGGAGAAAGAGAAAGAGAGAGGGGGAGGGGAGAGGAGAGAAGGAGAAGAGAGAGGGGGAGGGGGGGAAGGAGAAAGAGAGAGTGTGAGGATAAGGAGAAGTATAAGTAGAGAGTGGGAGAAGAAGAAGGAGAAAGGGAAGGAAAGAGTGGGAGAAGGGAAAGGGGAAGGGGAAAGAGAGAGTGGGAGAGGAGAGAGAAAGAGAAAGAGAGAGAGAGAGACAAAGACGCGCTTGCCTTATATACAAGGGAATAAACAGTAAGAGTTACTTGTCAAGACAGCTAGCGGATATTTTAGCAAGACACTTGGAGTGACGCTCCTTAACTTGGGCTAATGGAAGATTACTTCTTGGTATGTGTTAGAAAACTCAAGAGCGCAAATGTATGATGTATGGGTTTTGTGAATGTGTTTGTTTACTTTGGATGTGTTTGTGTGTGTGCTCGCCCTGTCGCCATTCATATAACAAAGAGGTTGGTGTTGTCATGCGCTGTCGATCAAATTTATTATTGTAATTACCTCATCCCTCCGAGGCGTCACTATCGCGTCGTACGCTCGTCTGGCGAACGTGCATCTCGCCCCTACCTGTGGCAGCTCGTTGATGTGATAAATGACACTTGGTGCTTTTGCACCTTCGGGTGAGCCCTGTGACCCCCCCCCCCCTCCCCATCTCTCTCTCTCTCTCTCTCTCTCTCTCTCTCTCTCTCTCTCTCTCTCTCTCTCTCTCTCTCTCTCTCTCTCTCTCTCTCTCTCTCTCTCCCTCTCTCATTCTCTCTTTCTCTTTCTCCTTCTCCTTCTCCTGCTCTCTCTTTCTCTCCTCATATCCTGTCCTTTCCAATCCTTCTTCCTTCCTTTCCCGCCTTCCCTCTGTCCCATCCTCACGCCCTCGCTACCCCTTTTGTTTCCCTCTCCCTTCATCTATTTCTCTCTTTCTTCATTGGTCATTTTTAATTTGGCAATTCAGTCCTCATTTCCCTACCTCCTTTCCTTCTTGGCCCTCTCCCTCCAGGACAAAGCCACATGCGTTCGATTCCCATGGCTGTATGAGCGCCCGAAGGCCTCTGCCAGGAAGGGAAGGGACCCGCGTGGAGAGGGCACAGAGCCGAGGAGGTGCGATTGGGCGTGCTTGATGACGGGCTAATGAGGCAGCGAGAGCCTAATTGCCCTTAAGCGCTGGTAATGTCCTTCACATACCACCAGCCTAGTGCGATGAAGGAGGCGGCGCATGTCGCATCAAGCTTTTTAACTCGTCATAACCTTCAGCCGAGAGTCTTGGCGCTGATGAAGGGAGAAGCGGTGCCTCACAATGAGCGTCGTCGATACGTCGTCGGTTGCTATCCCGAGGGACTGACTAATCCCCCGGGATGGAGGCCGAGGAGAGGCGGAGGAGGGGCGGAGGACATTCGACAAGGAAGAGCGAAGATGTTTACTGGTCGAGCTCGTCATCGTGCCTTCGGTTTTGCTGCGGTCACGAACGT